GAAGATCTATGTCTGTGATACCTCTTTGAAAGAGGACCACGGTGCTATCCATCTAAAGAGAATGCAGTCAAGCAGTAAATTTAGGGGGCCATCTCTTTTCATATTGACTGTATCTGAGCCAGCAGTTGGTCTTTGATGTTGTAACAATAGAGCATAGGCCGAGAGGAGTATTAGAGCTTGAACAATGTTGAAATGAGGCTGCATTCATTCGTTTTAAAGAGATGGCTTGTAATGTGAGGCAGAATGATTTCTGAAGTGTTCTCGCCTGCAGGAAGGGACTGCGTAGTGTCTGTATTACTGTTCTTGTAGACTTCCAGCCTGGAGTCCTGTGTGTAAACATTTTTAATTATAAACCAGGTGCACTGGGAACCTGGATTGTACACTTGGTGCTTTATTAGCTTCATAAAGGCTCCAAGGCATTCTCTCTTTTTTCCCCTTCTTCACTGTGGGCCTCTTTAAGCCCACTAGCCCTAGACTATGGTACAAACAGAAGAAATACTAGGTAGCCCAGACAGAATTATGCCAACACTTGAGAAACAGATACATTCATTTCACAGGCTAGCTAGTTTCAAGTCTGAAATGTTCGACTCTTATTAAACAAAATACAGATTTTGCTATCAAAAAGTATTCTGAGTAGCGGCACTCATTCCTGATGGTTCTCCTTCTTGATGTATTCCGGATTGCAGATGTATCATTCAAAGCGTAAACTGAACACTTGATTCACATTCTGCGTAACAGAGGTACCTGATGGTACACAGTACAGGTAGGGGGCATTTAGAGCAGCAAACCATGTAGGGAGAAATTGAAATATGAATCTGTAACTACATAGGGAGAGGCCATGCAAGTTTGCCAGGGAGGCCCAATTAACTGAGTTTCCTTGATGTACGTCCACTACATGTTCACAAATAGATGTTTCTACTTCACAGCGTCTGCCATTCCAAGCACTAGTAACCTTGCAACAGCCTTGCTACACATGGCGGCCGCTTACACAGCACTTAAGAAGGGAAATGCACTGACAACAAGAGAGACTAAAGGAAAATTCAGAGGGACGTGCATATACCAACTGGTATACGGAGGGGCAAATTTAGAAATAAATACTGGCATTTAAACAAATACAATGTAGGTTTCCATGGTGGGGAAGGGTGTGCCCCCGTGATCCATCTGCAGGTCCGCTTGCTCGGTTGCCCAGGTGCTGACTGTGGATGGGCGATTGGAAGGCCCTGCTTACTCCCCCTACTGAGAAATCCTGGTCTTGAAAGCAGACTTGGGTTGGACAATCCTTCAAATAGAGGATGCATTCAAAGAGAGGACTGTCCTCTCTAAAGGAGTACAGATTGCCAACCTAGAGGACCAGTGAAGCCAACAGTTAACATGAACCACTCTAAATGCCAGGTTTTTGTCCCCAGCTAAGCTACATTGTCAGTCCTGGGAGATGAACAGCTTGCACTGAGTGAAAGAAGGTAATCTTTTTGGCCTGCAGCAACACAAAACGATGATGCTTGTGCTCCCATTTTAAATGAATTTAATTAAATCCTTCGATTAGCAGCAATGTAACCATCTTTGCCAAGAAGCAAAAAGGGTGCCACAGTTTTGGGTAAAATTTGAAGAAGTGATGCTACGTTAAATGAATAAGGTGTTTGAAGATATTTTGGCTTTGCAATTTGAAGCATTAATTTTAGGTTAAAGTTTGTTGTAGGAACAACAGTTCAGTGACAGAACATACACTTTGGATACAGAAGGGCACACATTCTGTCTCAAGCCACCGTGTGCAGTAGAAAACAGTGTGAGTGATTAACCACAAATGCCCAGGCATTTGATTTTTAGTTTGGGTACTTTATTCAAAACTATTTTGGACAAGAACTATCATACCAGTCCAAATGCTGCTGTTAATCACGGACTGTGATCCAGCACTGCAGTGGATATTAGCAATAAGTATAGCTACTGTTGGTGCAGGGAAGAGATGCTCTCTTATCAAAGGAGCTGGTAATAAGAAGTAGCAACTAGCAACCACCAAGGAGGTGCCATTTCTAGAGTTAATGCCCAGAAGAGACATGCCTAAAGCCTCTTTCTTCTCAATAGTACTTTACTGTCATGTGCAGGACTTTATGTATAGCTATGAAGGACGCAGCAAACCAAACCTGAATTTTGCTTCTGGAACAAATTATGCCCATTGCACAGGTGTGCATGATATCTTACATTGCATCATTCTGCATTTTTCCATAATTTAATTTGGTTTTGTGGGTCATGGACAGGAGCAGGGGTGCTAAAGCCCTAGTGTGAACAGACCACTAAAAACCTCAGCCAGTCTCCTCTCTGCCTCTTGAGGTGTCAACAGGCAATGATCACATTCTTTCACATATAACTTATTAACTCAAAACCCTAGACACTTGCATTATTATTAACATTACTTATATTTCTATACTGCCCAATAGTTGAAGCTTTCTGGATGGTTCATCACAAGAACAGATAAAATACATTAAGAATGCAATACAATGAAGTATAATGAAGCATCATAAAAATGCACTACAAAATTCAAGCTACAATAGTTTACTCAAAGCCACAAGACCTATTAAGCAGTTGACAATGACCCAGTATTATGTAAAATTAATTAAATACCTTCTCATAGAGGACTGTCTCAACCAGGTCTTGAAAAGCTATCAAGGTTGGTACCAGGTGGACCTCAGTGAGGAACGTATTCCAGAGCTAGGAGGCTGCCACTGAAAACGCCCTTCCCCTTGTTGCCACCAACAGAGCCTCGCTTTGAGGTGGCAATTGAAGGCCACCCCCAGATCTTGAGCCGTGTGTCCTGGTCATTTGTGGCTGGGAAAAGCATCCCATCAGGTTGAATTGGGCTTGGAAGCACAGAAGCTGCCAATGCAAATGAGCCAAAATTGGTGTTATGTGTTGGGGCCTTCTACTCCTGGTTACTAATCTGGTTGCTGCATTTTGTGCAAGCTGCAGCTACTGAAGAGTCTTCAAGGGCAACCCCATATAAAGTGCATTGCAGAAATCTAGAGATTCCTGGGGTGGGGGGTGGGGGAGAGAGAATGAGAGAGAGAGAGAATAAAAGCTGAGCTTCTTAGGAAGCTGAATTCTTTATCAACTTCCAGAGGGATGAGGAATTTGGTGTGGCCTTCCAGATGTTACTGGACTGCAGCGCTCTGATGCCAGATTCTCCCCCACCCCCCACCCCTGAGGCAAGCTTTACTGAGACCAGAAGGCTTATTTCTGGGCTCATGCATGGCAGGCATCACTGACATTTTCACAAATGAGGAAAGAATGCACTGGTGAAATTCTCTTACCTTCAAGGCATCTTGCACTTAGCTTGCCTCTCCCAGAATTGTCATACATTTTTACATATGGCATTTCCCTTTGTGCACTTCTGTTATTTTAGCATTTGATTGCCTGACAAAATCTTGTTCCTTGTGAGCCATATGGAGAAAATGCCTTCAAGACATGAAGGAAAACAGCATTTGACAGGTGGTAGAGTCAGGAAAAAAAGTAATAAGATGGTGAATGGTTTTAGAGGAAAGACAGGAGTAGAGACTGAGAACAGGGAACAGCTGCCCTCGGGCAACCATAAACAACTGTGAGAAAACTTTGAAAAAAAAAAAAAACACATGGTTTTCAAGCAAGACTTTTTTTCCCCTTTCATGTGTCAGGAAACCCATGCTGGCTGGGAATGATGGGAGCTGTTGTCTAAAACATCTGCAGAGCATCCGGTTGTGAGAGGTTGATTGTAGGCTATGGAGGACTGACAGAGCTTAGTGTGTGTTGTGGTTGGCATGTCCTGCCGGCACCTCAGAGACTCGGGCTCAAGGCTGTAGTCCATGAAGATCACAGGGTGACTGTGCACCTCCCAGCGGAAGGGCTGTAGCTCAACAGCAGAGCACCTGCTGGTCAGTTCCCAGCATCTCCGGTCAGGCTAGGCAGAGCCCTAGAGAGGCCCAGAGGGCCACTGCCAGCCTTCAATGGGCCCCTGCTCTGACTCCACATAAATGTTCCACCCCCGAGCCCCTCTTCTTTAGGCTAATCCTCCACCCACTTTTCCAGCACTAGCAGAAAGGATCGGTCAGCTGATCAAAGCGAGCGGCAGCAAGCAGGCTATCCTCTATTGCGCCAACAAGTGAGTTAGCAGTCACAGTGAGTTTGCTGGGAAATTAACCATTGTGCCAGCTAATGCTAGCACAATATCATTTATGTCAGCGTGAGTGCTGAATTGGACACCTCCCAATGAATTTGATTTATATTGAAAGAATTAATTGATGCATTTATTTATTTCCAAAGGTGTCATGTTTGGGCATCAGCCTCTAAAGCGCACGCACTGAGATTTTCCAAACTGCTTCATAAAGGCTGGTGCTCCATTTCCATTTCAACAGAAATGTCAATTTAACACCACTGTTTTAAAGAAAGTAGCTCTCCTGTTAGGTGGCAGCCAAAACCTCCAGGTTCTTATTGGGCTGTATACAGCCAGACCTTCTATATTAATGAAGCTCTTGATTGCCAAGAGCTCCCCAGAATATGCACAACCCTTTCCCATTAAATCCCCAAACTCTTGTTGAATCAGCAATGTGTGGTGTGTCGTGTGACCGGGCAGGGGTGTGGGGTGCTGCTAAGCACAAGGTGTCCCATAAGGTCTTGCACACTGCAAAGCAGTATCTCCCACTGACACTACTGGGGGGAGCCTGAATTTCATTTGCCAGCACATCTCTGCTTCCAACTTACTACACTGCAATTATAAACTGCCTTTCCATCTCTTGCAAGGAACTTGGGGCAGCTTACATATCCTTGCTCTTTGCTATTATGTCCTCACACACAACAACCCTGTGAGTCTGTGACTGGTCCAAAGTCACCCAGTGAGCTCCATGGCTGAGTGAGGACTAGAACCTAGATCTTCCAGGGGTCCCCAGTCCAGTAATCTAATCACCACACCGTACTGACTGCATTATCTTTGCTGTACATAACTTAGTATTTCCTTCCCGTCTTCTTTTCCCCCTTAGAACATCCTCCAGACAGATAGCCATTCATCTCCTGAGACCAGCTTAACATTAAACCCAGAGGACAGACCGGATCATCCTGACCAGCAAGCAGCACACAGGTCATTTGCAAAACAGCAGTTCAGGCAGGAGAATGGGCATTCGTCTTTGCAAAGGGACGGACCAAGATCTTTCCTTCTGGATCTCCCAAACTTTCCTGACCTTTCAAAAGCAGACATCAACGGGCAAAATCCCAACATCCAGGTAACCCTCTAATGTTTGGAATCCCTGCCTCTCCCAATCCTGCGAGGAGTTGTACTCACTTTCAAGCAAACAAAGGTAAAACTCTTGTTGATCCCTTTCCAGTTCAGATCCCTATCAAGGTCTGAACTAGGGTGTGTGGCTGGTGCCTATGGAATGGTACGGGGTGGGGCCAGCATGCCCAGCCCCTCCCAGTACTCACCTTGAGTCCCAAACAGTCAGGCAAGCACCTGAATGGGATGAAGCGGGGAAGTACATAACTTGAACAAACATTAGCTCTTGGACAAATTCTTCTGGAATCATCCCTCACAATGTTTGTAAAATTTAAATCAGAATCCCCCTGTATTAAAACATCATTTTGTTTATATAGGTCACGGATATAATGTCTTACCTGGTATAACACAAAATCTACTGTAGTTAATGTTCTACAAGGTGGTCCATCATTTATTTATTTATTTATTAGCATTATAATTCCACCTTTTTCTTTTTTTACAAAAAAGAACTCAAAGCAGCTTATGTCATTCTCCTGCTGCTCTCCATCTTATTCCCACAACAACAACCCTGTGAGGTAGGTTGAGCTGAGAGTCTGTGACTGGCCCAAAGTCCCCCCAGTGAGCTCCATGGCTGAGCAGGGACCAGAACCCAGGTCACCTGAGTCCCCATCCCAGGCTCTTAGCCGTATACCACACTGGCTTTCAGGGTCACATATATTTAGGTAGAGTGGGGTAAATCACTTCACTTCCGCCTCCCCTTCATTGCATCAGGACAGGTCAATCCTTGTTTAAGTGTTCAGAGTATGAGGCAGCATCCACCACAGACAGCCTTCTCACACAGTTTGTAGACTTGCACTGACCCACTGCCATTTCAAATGAATACAGCGCCTTTCTGTTTACTGACTATTGGGCTGGCTCCGTTTCAGTAATAAAATGCTTTTATTCAGCCCTGCGCCGTTTGTGCAATTGTTTCAGTATTAGCAAGAGAAGAAAACATCTGAAAGCGTAACCCGAGCAGCTGTTACTTTTGTGCTAGGGCTGCTTTTTAACTTCGTTGCCAAATCAGCAGCCAAATGCACCACTGCACTCGAGTAAACGAATTCACAGGAAGTCCTTGAAAGCGAGGTGCTTTTAAAGCCAGCAATGTATTTCCTTCGGGAGCAGAGATTTCATCTTTCTTCATGAAAAGCTCTTTTGTTGACCGCCATTGATTTGACGTGAGCCAGCTCGTGCGGTCCTGCCAGGGCTATTCAGCGTGCGGCAGGTTCAGTTTGCTTCCCCTCTAAATGGTGAAGTCATCTGTCAAGCGAGCGGGCTCAGCCGCCAAACTATTTTCTGTGCGATGTTTGTTCGGCTCTTCCAGTCCCTTGAAATGTGGCCCAGCTCTTAGGAGGGCCTGAATGTGGACTGCAATACTCCACTTCTTCCTTGGAACACTCCCTTTCCTCCTGCTTTTGGCTATTGTTACTCCCAGTGTGATCGCTGCGGTAGCAGCTTGCACGTTTATTGTAGTCTGAGGTTTTATGGATTAGAACCCACTCATCAGTCCCGCATGAGCCGTCCTCCTCAGTCTGCAGGCACACCATGGGTTGTAAGTAGAGGGGGGCAGATGGCCACAAAATACAGGTTTGCGGCAATTCGGCGTGTGCAGCGTAAGACAAGGGGTTGGATCTGCCTTCCACAAGAAGACGAGCCCACCAGCAAAAGGGCTTTAGTTGTGGAAGGTGTCTCTGCTGGAATTTTGGGGATCTCCACACATCACAACTCACCCTATTCAGCACAGTTCCTAATTTTATGTACCATTTTCAGGGGGCTGAAGCAGCTCTGATGAGAAGGAGGGGCCAGAAGTTTACCTCGGTGAGCACATTTGCTCCAGCATAAATTCAGATCCAAGATAAGAACAGCAGCCATTAACAGCATAAAATCCACAATTATGGATCAGAAAAGCATCTTAGACTTATTGTGTTAAGGAAGACTTGGGGTGGGAGTGGGAACCATGGGCTGAAATAATTTCATAGGACCAGAAAAATAAGGTGACCAAACATGGCCCAGGATATGGTCTGAAGGCACATAAGGCATCCATAATGAAGCTAAGCAGATCTGGGGCTGGTCTGAATTTGGAGGGGATCTCCTGGGAACCACATATAGCCACCTTGACTTCCACAATGGGAGAAAGGTGGAATATAAATATAACAAACAAACAAACAATCTAACTAACTTGTCACCTATGGTTGCTTGTTAAAACCAGTGAACTGTAGCCAGCTGGGAGAGTAATAAGTTGTAGGTCTTTCTACTCATCAGGAATGACAGGCCACATAACCGGAGGGCCAGATCCTGCAACAAGCCAGGATGCTAATTTCATCCCCATGTCAACTCAGGCAACCCTGTTACCAGGCCTAATATCATTAGGGGTCCATTCACTTGTTCAGGCCCAAACATGAGATATACAACCACCTTCCAAGAATGCCCTCCTACTGTCTCTTACAGGTAATGGGACAGGGGCTCTGATACTAAAATCCCATTTATCTACACTCTAGTCCTGATCTCAGAGCTGTTCTTCCCACAAGGAGGTTCAAAAGGGAATTTCAGCATATAATTCCTAAATGAGAACTTAATTGGAGATTTGATTGTTTTTCCAGGCCTGAACTGAAACAATGTTTTTTCTTTCCTATTATTACAAAACCTGGGTAGTTGGTGATAACACAACCACCACTGTGCACAATTATCATTCTGTATAAGCTGTATACAATTCAGCTTTATACTGAATTGCCACAGACTTCTCTTTTATGTCCATTGGGCCCCAGAGCTGACAGTTATCTTCTCTGTACACACATAAGTATACCTGTCAGCTGAGAATAACACTCCATGCGTCTGACAATGAGGACTCCAGTCCCAGGTGGCATATGCCATAATGCATCTGCTGGGCTTTAAGGTTCCACAGAGCTCTCCATTGTACCCTACAATTGTGTGCCATGAAACATGCCATGTTTCCCCCATCATGCCCTCCTTTGCTTCTCCTTCTTGGACACCACAAAGCATGTGCAACAGAAATAAAGCAGCAAGAGACTTTGGGCACCAGTCACTATATACACATGCTCTTATTTAAAAAAAATGTCTTCAGACACGTACACATGAAATACATTCTGCTCATATTGCAGAACTGAATTTAAAATAAGCCAGGATGGATTCATAAACCAGAACAGCCCAAGATTCATAAACCAAGAACAAATCTAGTTTGTGATTCCGGGATTTAGAAGAAGTAGCAAGCCAGGATCCCCATTTCATACAACACACTGAGCACTCAGTTTCTGGTGAACTCAGTGGCCATGCTTGTAGAGAGAGAATGAATGGCTGGTATGCCCCATCCCATTCTCCAGAATTCTGGCTTCTCCTCCTATGTAAGTGTGGCCATTAAGTATCTCTGCCCTGTTTCTTTGACTTTTCCTGGGTGGTCATGACCTGCCATGAAATTTAATCTTAGCCCACCCTTTCTGGTCTCCCCACGCCCTGCTGTTCAGTGTCTTCCTGCATCCTTCCCTGGCACTTGCTACATACACCTGTCATAGCCACAAGAAAACCGGTGTAAGGGTTAGGCATGACTAATTGCAGAGAAATTATTTTGAAAAATGCAAAATTTTCCTATAATTGGGTCAGTAATTGAACTTTGAACTTTGTATCTTTCAGTAAAAGTTTCCTTACCTGAAACAAATGGAGATGTAAATTGCAGGCATTCAAATACGTGCTAGGAAGTGCTAGGACACATGGATTATAACTCATCTGAATGTACTCTGGGATCTATTGCTATAATTTTGAACCTTGGCAGAACCAAAGTAAGCTCTGGAATTTATGACTACAGGTTTTTATACTGGCAAGGTGCAGACTTGCTAACCATTGGCAGCAGAGGCCTGTACCTTTAAATGAGCCTAGACCACCACCACCACCCAAAAAACCAATGCTGCAGGATGTTTTGGGGTGAATCTTTATGCTAGCTCTGTAAAGCTATTGGTGACATCAGTTCACTTTCCAAGACATCTTGGGCACACTTTTTCTTCCAATGCATGCAATGGCCTATGTGGCTTTTACAAGATGTTAGACAAAAAGGCACTTTTGTGTTACCCACTAATACAAAGACAATGGATTTCCTGGATCAGATCCAAGGAAATAAAACTGGGACAAAGAGAGGTGGGGCCATCACCACCAGTGGCTACTGCAAGGAGCAAAGACCGAGGTAGTGACCTTGGTTAGCGGCCAAAGGGCATTGCCCACTTGGTGCCCATTTGGCGACTGCTTTGGGACTGCTGAAGGTCAGCATGGGAAGAGGAAAACTGTGCCATTGAAAACTGTCGAGAAACTTCAGCTGATCCAAAGTAAGGCAACAAGATAGTTAATGCAGACTGCCTTATGAGAACACGGTACACCAGTTCTCTTCCGGCAACACTGGCTGCTGGTTGAAGTCTGGGCCTGATTCAAAGTGCTAGTCCTAACTAGGCCCTAAACGGTTAGGGTCTGGTTACCTGCAGGATCATCTCCTCCCATTTATACCTACCCAAACCCTGAATTCATCTTCAGATATCTTTCTCCAGGAGTGCCTGGTTCTGGAATGCGCATCACGCAGAGGTGCTCCGGGCACCTGCTTTGTATTCTTTTCAATGCCAGGTGAAGACCTTTAATTTTTTCCTGTATTTTAATAATTTAACTTTTAAAATATGTTTCTATATATATTTTTTTTATTCTGCCCCACTATTATGCATCTATGCTGAATCCTAGCAAGTAGAACTGGTATTATGGTTTTGCTCTTTTTAAATTAATTTGTGTGTTTGTTGTTTTGTTTTTTTTTTTTACTTTTAATTTTAACCTTTGGTAACTGCCCAGAGCGCCTTGGCTATTTCACAATATAAAATTTAAATAAATAAAGGGATGGGTTCAATCTTTTGTGTTTAACATCATGCATTTTCTTGTTAGATGTCTGCAATGTTCAGTTTTAGTTTTGGTTTGTCCTGTCTGCCTCCCTACAGAACAGTCATTTGCAACCTTTTGGGATCCAAGACTTACCATTCATCCCAAACTTCAGCAGGACTTACTTTGACTTTTTTCCCCTTCTGTATATGCTTGTTTTTCTTCTCTTTCTCTTCCTTGGACAACCAGATGTGAAGGAGGACAGGAGGAAGGAGGATGCTCCTGCAGCTTGAAAAATTATATAGATGATTGGTGGGGAGGGGATTCTAGTTATCATAATAAGGTGAAAAAGCTGTGTCTACTCAAAATAATTTCTGAGCACTTCCAGCCTTCTCTGTGTCCAATGACACTCCTCTGCAAAAAGAAGCCCAAATCAAAGCAACAGTGATCGGCCCAGTGGTGTTGGGCGCGGAGCCTTAGGCCAGGGAGTTTCAGCCCAGCCATGCCCCCTTCCCATGGCCCCCTTTGCCCAGCCACCAATCACTGAGTGCTTTCCTGGCTTTTGTGCAGTCTTCCTCTCCTCCCTCCCCACTGCCCAATTCTAAAAGGCTGCAGTGCTTCTCCTAAGGCTTAGTTGCTGCCAGTAAGAATTAAGTACAAGCTAACATATGCTGGTATTTTTAGTAAATTTTGGGCCCACCATTGCTATGCCGAATCCCCAAGAGCTTCTGCAAAATGGAACTCAGACCTTGGGTTGAAAGATGCTCCATCCCACTGCACTAATGTAAAACACATTAAGGGAGGGCGCAAACCCACCTACTGAAAGACTAGCACCACAGCTGATGTTTCATTTGCTGCGTATCATTGGACTTACAGGTTTTCCAAACTCTCACACCGCTTACAATTCTCCCCTGCCTCCTCAGCTGGTACCTGACCTTTGTCGCTGCAGCATCACATTTCTTACTGATACGTCCACAGTTTTTTGTTGGTTTGTGTTTGGAGGCAACATCTGTTCCAAATGCTTACTGGTCCGCAATCTTGAACTCTCCAGGTGACTATAGAAGTTGTTGATGGTGCAGATTCTGAATCAGAGAAGGATCTTCAAAAGGAAAGCAGCAAACCCAGCTGGCCTGTCCCATCACCAGACTGGAGGAACTGGTGGCAAAGATCGGCACCCACTGTCACCCGCATGAGCAGTGGTGACCAGGATTACAAGTATGACAGCACAACTGAAGATAGCAACTTCCTAAACCCGCTCAGCAGTAGTTGGGACAGACATGTGCCTGGTCACCGGGCATTTGAATCAAAGGAACAGCCAGAATATGGTGAGTGCGGATGCTGTCTTGAGACCATCTCAGGGATCCAGTGATGCTCTGAAGAATGGCTGGGCAGGGGAACGGGGAGTCAGAGGGAAATCAGATAAGGGAGTATGTTTCCAAAGGGTTAATGCATGTAATGCATGTAATTCCTGGTAAAACATGCATTTTCTCTCTACACAGGCAGGGGTGTGCCTGTGCCATCCATCTTATGTGTAACATCTCCTCTATACTAATAGCGAACTCTTTCTCTCATTACGGATTCTTATGTAGGCAAAATAGCACAAAGCTAAGAGAAGCCCAGAAAAGAACCTAAGTGTGCAGAGGAGAGAATGAAAGACAAATACAGCTCATGAGGGACCGAATGTGCTCAGTGGTCAAAGAATGCTAATTGAGCACAGAGAAGGGACAAATGGGAAACGGGATGGAATCAGTGCAATGGGATATCATGGAGAAGGAGACAGCTGGCTGCAGTGCTTAGCAATACCCCCACGCTGCAATATTGTGCTGCAGCTTTATCTTGAACAGAGACTAACAGCCAAGCCAGTCTCTAGACAGCAACACAATGGTGTTTTGCTCTGTGTTCTTCCTGGATGCATTGACTTGATAATTCATTATTTATCCACTTTTTCCCCACCTAACGTCTTGTTCTTTCTTCAGATTACATAGACGGTGAGGGAGACTGGAGCCCTTGGTCCATTTGTAGCATAACCTGTGGAAGTGGCAATCAGAAGCGCACCAGAACCTGTGGATATGCCTGCACAGCCACCGAGTCGAGGACATGTGACAGGCCAGACTGTCCGGGTGAGGCTCTGCTAACTTGCACTAATCCGTTGCAGACCTGATTAGAACTCTGCCAATGAAAATAGACCTGCTGATGAAAAGTAGAAGGAGATGCCACCAAATATCTGGAACTGACAGCTTTGCTCTTTGGAGGGGAAGAAAATGCTTTTCCTTCTTGCAGCACTGTTCCCGTAGCACCACCTGGTTTCAGCAGTGCCCACAGATAATGAGGCAACCTCCACTCTGCGCTTCATGTGAGATGCACTGGATGGGGTTAAGAAGATTCTGCCTTCCTCCTTTCTAATTATTTTCCCCATTTACTGCACTGCTAAAAAAATTACCAAGAGAAAGTGATGGCTTAGAGCTAGTGCAGTGATGCCATGTTTCAGAGCAAGGCCATAGCAAGAGAAGAGCATTACGCAGTGCTTTTCACATGGATTAAAGCATCACTGAAAGTGCTAATCCTCACCCCTCAGAGGTGGCGTCTTGGGCACTTACTGGATATGGTCCAGGAGGCCCTTCACATCACTGAGTACATGGTGCTCCCCAGAAGTTAGCATAGCCACTGGAGTACTCCCCACTCGGCTCTTCATCATGCCGTGTTAAATAGGGATGTGCAACCAGGAAATACATCGAGGCATTCGGAATGTTATTGCTTATTTGAAATGAGTTTACGATGTTGCAATGGGAACCCCCAGAAGATTCACCAAGGAGAATGCCACTTATTCAGTAGCTGTATGGTGTGGATCAGGGAGATTCCAGCATGGAGCTGCCACCCCCTCAGTTGGTCCACTGAAGCCAGGGCAGGAGGTGGAAGACAGAAAATGGTTATTTTCCCTCCCATTGCCATACCGCTGAAAATGGCATACCTTGCTTCAGCCTCTATCATTGGGAATTAATATGGATACCTCCCCAGGTGCTGTCCTGTCTCTCCCACCTTGGAGCAGAACTTACACCGTTTCTTATGGCCCCTCAGTTGGCCACCTGTTAGCTGCAGGATTGCACCCAAAGGATGGAGGAGAAAGTCATTCAATTTGCATTTCAGTGCAAACTTACTTAATGTTACATTTTCACGCCAATATGCAAACTGGAAGTCAGTCCTCGAAATTTGGATTTTTCCAATAAAAATGCCTATAACTATTGAAAAACATTAAAATGCATTATATTAGGGAAATGATTGAAGAGGTGTATATTAAACAAAACTGTGTAGAAAAAATGTATGCATTAGGAGAAAGGCATGCAAATATGCACAGAACTTCTCATTTAATTTTTTTAAAGATCTTAAAGAGAGGGCAAGATGATTGGGCAACTAATGGCCCTTCAAATGTTTGGGATTAACATTCCCATCATCCTTTAATGCTGGGAGTCATTTAAATGTACTCTTAAATAAGATATTCCCACATGGCTTGGAGAATATCTCTAAAGCAGCTTTTTGGTTGTTCTCCTCTTGGAGTGGTTTCTAAAAGACTGAATATATGAATATTCTAAACATTTCCAGCACCACGTTTGTCCATTGCATTGTCTTAATAAGCCTGTAACAACAGTAGTACATCCTGCTTACACACACAGTCAAACCCATAAAACTGCTAGTGCAAACATTAGAAATCGTGTGCTCGGCATTCATCTGCAAGAGTTCTATTACTTAGTTTCTAGTCATTGCAGTTATCAAGATTGCTGTGAAGCTTGGAAATTTTGGACAGTACGTAAAACAGGACAAAAGAATATTAAGACAGTGAGTGTATTATCTCAAGACCATACTAAATATCTGAGAAACAAGAGCCAGCATGTGCTGAGAAGATGTGATTTGTCATGGTCTTTGCTGTGTTTTGATTACATGTTTTTGTTGGGGTCCAGAAGAAAGCTCACTCTCTCATTCTCTTTAAGGGAAAGAGTGTAAAAGACATGAATGTTACGAGAGGAGCTCGTACTGATAGAAGCACGGTTTTCCTTCCACCTTTTATTGTTTTCCATTAAGGAAAAATCCTGCTTTCTTTAGGGATTGAAGACACCTTCAGGACAGCAGCCACAGAAGTGAGTTTGCTTGCAGGAAGTGAAGAATTCAATGCTACAAAGCTCTTTGAAGTCGGTAAGGAGACAGTAGCAGGGGGCTAGTTGAAAGAGGGAGGCGGACTTTGGATGGCATGGCAGAGGCCCAGCAGCAGAATGGTCCATCTTCAGGAGACACTGGGCTAAGGGGGTCTGGGGGGAGGGGAGTGGGAAGGTAAGTTCTCCAATCCTTCCAAAGTAATGCACACTGTGCCTACCTTTGATGGGTGTTGATCAAAGGCAGAAACACAGTGCCTCCCCCCTTCTCCATTTCCAGCAGAAACCTGGGAGTAAAGCCATCTTCCCTAACCTGGTACCCTCCAGATGGTTCAGCCTTCAGCTCCCTCCCATTGGCCCCAGCTTGAATGGCCAATAGTCAAGAATGCTAGGGACTGAAGTACAAAACAAAAACAACAGTGGGGGGGGGGCACCAGAACAGGGGAGACCAAACTACAGTTCCAGCATCCAGCTATTTCACACAAGCTACCTGAATCACTGTGTTTGTTTAAAGACAAAGAGTAAAAGCTGAAGATTACAGCAGCTTAAAAGATGTTCAGGGTGGCATTATGGGCAATCAAGAGCATTTCAAGCTTCATCCAGCCTGGTTAGGACAGTTAAACCAGCACATTGCTTATGGATGCAGTAATATTGCTTGCAGCAAGGCCAAAGATTTTCCAGAGGCTTGCACAAAGTTTTGACCCTGTTCTTCCTTCCAGATATGCATTTCCCACTTCATCACTCATCAGTGTTCTGCTAGTAGCACATTCTGATTTGTACAGATAGCTTGGTGTCTCCCCACATATTACAAGACTGGAATGTCAACTGCTTATGGCTTCAGTTATACGGAGCTGCTTTAATATCATCAGTTAAAAGATGAGAGCATCCGTGCTCCAGTGCAGCTGCTTGGAAGAGGCCCCCCAAAAGGCAGAGGGGGTTGTTCTGCCATAGATGAACACAGATTTTATTTCACAGTAGTAACAGCAAAGAAGACAGCAGAGAAACACAGCTTCACACTACCATGGAACAACCAGATGCTTGCTTAAGACTAGCTGAAGAATAGCTATATATATTTTTAACATAGAAAATGCACATGCAGGGGAGAAAAGGTGGGAAAGCCATATAAAAGTAGTAAAATTGATGACTGTATACCTGTTTTCAGTCACTACAATACTTGGCTTGGATTCACAATTGCTCTTCCACCAGAGAAGGAATCCTGCTTGCAGGCTGGGCTTTTTTCAACCTCTTTCTCCCTACTGCATCCCTTGGTGCACACACCAAACCCTCTGAAGGGGTTTGGGAAGCATCAGGGGAGTTGTGCTTGGAACAGGAAGGGAAGACAATGAGACTCTTTCTCCAAAAGCAGAACCTTCTGTTGGTGAAAGGATGACCCTAAATCCAACTCCACAGAAGCAGTATTATCGCATTTATTTCTTGGCCACCTTATCAACAAAGCCTTTACTGAGTGACCTGTGAAAAGCTAAAAACAAAACTGCAAATTTACATTCTCCTCAAATGGAATTACTTAACAGAGCAGCTTAAGTTGATTTTCTATGAGTTCTGAAGCTGGACTGTGGAAAGTCTGAAATGCTGAAACAGTTTGATGCTAGGCCAGCACCTGAACTAAAAGCAACCCAGAAGGCCCACTGAAAAGGATGCACACTTATCACTTGGATGCAAGTTCCACCAAAACAAAAAAGATTCCAGGATGAAAAGCAAGGCAGCTCTTTATTAGGAGGGTGCAGTGTGGACTGACCATGGTGATTTTTTCGTCGCCGAAGCACAGTGGGTCAGATCCACATTGCATGGTCGTGCACACAGCGGGCTGGGTGTGGGCACACCCCGGTACTCATCCAATCCCCCAGCCCTGCAGTGAGGCATAATTTGTAATTTCACAGACTTTTCACATGCCCCTTTTCCTCCCCAGACACAGACAGCTGCGAAAGGTGGATGAGCTGCAAAAGCGAATTCTTGAAGAAGTACATGCACAAAGTGGTCAACGACCTTCCCGCTTGCCCTTGCGCCTACCCCACAGAAGTGGCCTACAGCACTGCAGAGATCTACGACCGGCCGAAGCGGAAGAACTTCCGCTGGAAAGATGCGAGCGGCCCCAAGGAGAAGCTGGAGATCTACAAGCCTACTGCCCGCTACTGCATCCGGTCCATGCTGTCCTTGGAGAGCACCACCCTGGCAGCTCAGCACTGCTGCTACGACGACAGCATGCAGCTCATCACCCGGGGCAAAGGTGCAGGGACACCCAACCTGATCAGCACAGAATTCTCCGCGGAACTGCATTACAAAGTGGACATCTTGCCCTGGATCATTTGCAAAGGAGACTGGAGCAGATACAATGAAGCCCGGCCGCCTAACAATGGCCAGAAATGCACAGAGAACCCTTCAGAGGAGGACTACTACAGACAATTTCAGGAAGCAAGGGAATACTGAAAGAGAGGGAGAGACAGCCAACCTCTTTCAAAGTATGCAAAACTCAGGTGGTTGGTTTACGGGACAAAAGGCTAAATAAACTCTTGGCAAGCAAAGTTAGCCTCACCCTTCCCCACTAACTGTATAGAAGTGTATAGAATACACATTTTTCATAGGTGTGTGTTATTTATATAAGCATATACAAACAGCCTGCAGGCAAATAGTGTTGTCCCAACAGCCATTTATACAATGATATGCATTCTGCATCAGTGTAATGTTTTGTGTTTAAAAACTGCACTCATTTAAGTACCTGGTTGTTTAATTGGTGTTCATAGTTAAATCTGGTTCCTACTGGATTCTGTGAAAAAGCTCAGTTTTCATTCACTGAAGAAACATCTCAGGAATCCAGTCCTCAAATGCAAACCCTGCTCATTTAGAGAGACTTTTGCAAAGTGCAGAGAACTACCTGGTGGTTTACCTAACTGGGGGTTTCGGACTGCCTCTGATGGTAGTATTTTTGGCCAAGAGAGAATACGGCCACAAGGTTTGCTGCAACCTGGGACAGGTAGGCTTCAGTTTGCATTAAAAGACATGTTTTATGACTGTCTTCCTTTACTAAAATGAATGCCTAAAGTGCCTTTGACACTCTCAAAGAGCCCTCAACACTAAGAAGTGTGTGAGCACCTCCCAAATATTTTTGTCAAATCAAACCGAAGGAGCAAAAATAGAACATCACGGGACAGTTTCTATACATAACTTATTTAATACAAATGCAGTTAAGTGTAATTTCTTTAGAGATATATTAATGAAAATATTTAGATGTATTTAAAAGAGGAAATAAAAACATTTTAAATGGCAGGATGGTAACTGAAAAACAGGAAAGAAGCAGGTAAATATAACCATGTGCTCTGAGCTCCCTTTTAAAGTTGCAATTACCATGCAGTTCCACCTGGCATCAGGCCAGCTACAAATAGTGTTTATTGGCTTTAAGCATTCCTTCATCGTCATCAGTCATCATCATCATCCCACCTCCCACAGATACAGCCTTGGGAGATGTTTACATGATTTTTAATGCCTTCCAAGGACTAATTTGCGTATCACATTTGAAAATACAAGGACCTATGGCACAAACCTGCATTGATACAGGAACACTTGCCCAGGAAACATCATGGACTATATCTCACTTTTGGGAATCAAGCTGCTAACTTTTGTTTATTCTGTATAATGTATGGAACAGCATTAAGGGATTAGCAACTTGTTATAGGCTTACCTTTGACACATAAAGCAAAATAACTTAAGAGTCAGGAATTGTGATAATAAATCATAGAAATAAAAAACCAGCCAAATTAATTAGGGAGGAATCAAATGGGTTTTTATATTGAAGGTTAAGGGTCTGATTCATGGCTGATAGATAAAATTTCCCATGCCTGATCATCCCAAAACAAGCATTATTGGCTATGTGAGCTAAATTTAGAACTTGTCTTATTTAGGGTGTGTTCACATGAAACACAGCCCCTGTGGGGGCGGCCATTTTAAATTCCTCTCACCAGGAGCTGTTTTGGCCGAAATGTTTCCTCAGTCCCCTTGCAGTTCAAGACTGCAGCCCAAGAACATTGAGAACCTGGGCTTTCAGTGGTTTCAGATGCAGAGAAGGTACCATCCACTGTAACTCCTTGGAACTCTCTGAACTCAGGATGATGAGCTTCCAAGGAAAGCCCAGAGGCCTCTGAGCCCCCATGTCCTCCAAACCATGCAGGCACCAAGTTTGGCCGTCTAAATGAGGCTGAGGCACCTCCAGGCTTCCTTGCAGGGTGGTGACCCCACAGCTAACATGCATCCCCCGCCCCGGTGCCTTCTGGGAAGGCTACTGTTCCTCTTCAGAGTCCAGCCGGCACAAGAACCAGCGCAAAGTACAAGCTCCAATTATGAAATAATGTGTTGTTCTTAAACATACTGGGTTGGATCCAGAGCCAGACTGGATCACTGGTGCTGGCTAAAGAGGGCTTCCCCATCCTGTTCTTCTGTGAGCAGCCCTCCAGCCCCCTGAAAATACTATACTGGATACAAAAATCCAGGCTGAACAGTGTGAACTCTGATGTGTGTGGCTGGCTGCAGGGAGATGGGCTCCCACAAACCACCCTTAAACTAAGCCCTTCCTCACATGAAAGACAGATTCTGGGACCAAGCCTTTGTTCCTAATGCCCGTCTGCCAAATAAACACCCAGTATTTTGCAAAAGAAAACTGTCCCTTAAAAAAGTTTTATCAGTGAGGGGGTGGCTGGTTCAAAATCTTTAATTTAACTGCATTATTCTTGTATATTTATTACTAAGCTTTTCTTAACATGAATCTGCCAAGTCAAACATGCAAGGAGGGAGACTTTGAGAGGAATGACTGTGTTTCATTAAACTCAACCCAAAGCAAGTGTATAAATAAAGCTGTGCTGAAACATCTGCTCATTTGCATTCTCATTACATTGCTGCTCACATGCAGCACAAGGAAGGTGCGCATCGTTCGGCGAGGAAAGCCAGAGCAGGGGGTGCCGGAAAGATGTGCCGGGCTACCTCCAGGGCCTCCCCCCACCACCATGGTTCCTGTGGGCGACATGGCTTGAGGCCCCAGCACCCTGGGACAGAACCGCATTGCTGGATCCGTGTCAGGATGGAAGGCATTCGAAAGGGAGCGTGCAGTGTGAGGTCAAAGTAACACGCTATTAACATCGGCCATTGCAACAAGACTCGTCAAGGTGAAAGGAGGGAATTATTTTAGAATTTGTCTCTCACCTCATTTATTAAAATCCCATTGCTTCTGACCCGCCAAGACTAGAAATACTTTGGCAGACCACAACAATATGTTTTCAGGATCACTGCCGCTTTTCCCAGCACCAGCCTTGGAACCGATCACAGGGAAAAGTATTTCTCTCTCTGTGGTCCTCTGTAATAGTGTTCTAAAGTACCCAAGTTACTATTTTTGCTTGGAAAAATGATTTTTATAGCCCGTTAGATTTAGTACTCCATTGACAACAGTGACAGAGCATGGCCCAATTTTGCTTCTGGCTCCAGCTCGGAGGAGTCCCTTCATGGCTAGCTGAGGCTTGATTTTATAAGTAATGAAGTGTGTGTCTGGGTGTAATGTAATGAGAGCTTTCTTAACACAACATGGAGTGTCCCACATCGGTGATCAGAAAACTGTAACGCCAGGCATTGCGCAAGCCACCCCATCAGAAGTCAGATTGTCTCCCTTTGTGTGGGAGCAGCACAACACACAATGTACAATGCACACTCTAGAAGGAAGCTGCCTCTTCAGCTCAGCTTTGCCTTTGGAACTGCCTTGTCAACCCCACTCCTCCAAGAAAATGGGAAAATAAAACCGTGAGGAGAAGGGGAGAACATTAGCTAGACGGCACAGTTTTTACCACTGTGTGTACAGCTCTGTTTATGTTGCACTAGCGGGACTCACTGCTGGTGCAACAGGCCTCGCACAGCCCAAATGTTGGTTTCCAACACAGGCCAGTGATGCCTTCTTCAAACTCAGCTGCCCTGCTCCATTCCAGAAACATTTTGGCTCATTACTGGCCTCTTTGGGTAGCCCTGTGTCACTGTGGTGAATCTTCTGATGCTTGAGCAGCATCAGATGTTACACACACCGTCCAGGCACACGTGGCCCATGTGCACGCCCAAGCAGAGACACAGGCTTGCAATCTGCATGGGCAGCTGTGTGGACGCTTGCACTAGTCCAAGGATTAACTGGATTGTTAATTTAGAAGTATGACTTTCTAATACTCCCCCACCCGAGTGAATTGATGAAAAAAGAGGAAAGTCTTTTTCTTCAGCAGTCCAGAAACATTTTCTTTAACAAGTCCAGAAGAGGCAAACACAAGTACCAGACACAAGTCAGGCATCGCTAAGTTAGCTCATTTACTTCACGTGATTTGAGTTACTGCCTGATTTTCACAGTAAAATTAGTAGGACATTCACAGTGCAGTCTTCCATAGCTCTCTTCAGAAGCTCTGCCCTGTTAAGTTCAGTGGGGTTCCTCACTGGATTATGAGTGCTGACCTTTGTTCCCATTGTGCTTCAGGTGAGCAGTCGAGAAAGACTGCTGCCACACAGAACAGGCAGGTGCTCTTTCAAAAGAGAAAGCTTGGGCGAAAAGGACAACAATGCAAAGATCAAGATGCAAGCCGAAGCCTGGCCCCAAAATTCCCTGAACAGGGTCTCCCACACAAGGAAATGAGAAGCCTATATTTCCATTTCCATTTCTCCCCCCCCCCCCCACCCCAGCCTCTAAAACAGCATGGAAGTTCAGCTGGCACATGGAAGCCACAAAGGGAAAGAGAAATTGGTGAAAACTGCCATGGTGTTTCTTTTCACAGCAGGCAGCCTCTGCTGGATCCTCACTCCTTTTGCAGTCAGAAGGCAATCTTAGGTTTGGGGGACCCGTGAGGGCTCATGCCACTGACTAATATGAATTCTGCTGTGTCTTAGGTGGTGGTATACGCACAAACATAACACTATTAAGTAAGGAAATTGGTGTAGTAGAAAAAGGGAAAGGGAAGAAGGTTCCCAAGTTCAGGAACTGCCTCATCAGCTGACCTCACTGCCTTCTGCCTGGCGTATCTGCAACTTGAAGTATCTCCTGCTTGTGAGGCCGAGCTCCACATCTGTCCAAACTGCTTCTGGTGCTTAACAGTGTGTTGTGGTGATGCAAAATCCGTCAGGGTCACACCTGACAGAAAGCTGCACCTGGAACTTGCTTAGCAAATTCCACTCTGTCAGTGTTCCTCCTTGTATCAGTGGTATGCCAAGCATGTTGTTTTGTTCATTTTAGTTATTAAAGAGTTTATTTTGGGATTCAGTCAGAAAAACCACATTCATTTCATAGAAACAGAAACAGAGCTAATCAAATATTTGCTCACATCAGTCTTTGCTCGCTCTCGCTCTCGCTCTCTCTCTCTGTGTGTCTGTGTGTGTGTGTGTGTGTGTGTGTGTGTCCACTGACATCACAACAGAACACTCTACACCTTGCATCCTTCCAGGAAACTCAGGGCAAAAAAATGCCAGTTGCCACTCAAAAGGAAGAAGGTAGATCCCTCTGTTGGTTACCCTTTTCCTCCACATTGCTCCAGAATGACATCACATCTGGGGCATTCTGGGGTCGGGGGTGGAGTGGTAGCTGCCAGGAACAGCTACAGAAGTCTGGTCTGCTATCCTTCAACCTGTGTTGAAAAAGGCAGCATGAATGAATAACTAAGTGCAAAGCGGAGTATCTGAAAATGCAGCCATTCATAACCCCATGCATTTGTTTTGGACTTCAGTCCTTCACTCATCCTCAAAACAAATGCAGAGCCCAGCCTGAATTCTTTAACTGAATCCTTTAAGGCCTTTGGGAGTAAAACATTTTCCGGCCCTCCGTGTTACACACGGTGTCCTTCTAGGTTGTGTGCTGGCATTTCCCAGTTGCAACACAATGACTGAACACAGCTGGGAAACAGAATCCAATCAAAAGAAAACACCCTCATGTTGGATCCCCAGAAGCCCCTTCCGACAACCGTAACCTTGCTTTCTGATGGAACTTTCCTAGGGAGGAAGCAATGTAAGAAAATCCAGGGAGTTTCCCCCAAGAATTCATATATTTATAGATCACACATTCTCTACCCTAAGCCAATGCACAAGTTTTAAAAGCTTTCAGTGAAACCATCCTTAAAAATTAACTAAAAACAATGGTAGAGGTACGAGTAGCAAGCAAATTACCTTCTGATCTCAGTGGTAATGGAGTTTCACTCAGCAGCCAGCAAGAAGTTTTAAAAGCAAGAATATTTGCTGGCTGAATGACAGCTGGGAAACAGCCAAGGGAGATGTTCCTGCAGGAGAGCCCTCCATGGATCTGACGCAGTAACCACAAAAGCTCTTCTTCTTGCTCTCACTGGTTTTCCTTTTACCTTACATGAAAGAGGAAACGTGGAATCACATGCCCCTCACAGATCTTAGAGAAAGAAGAGGCCATGTAAGAGAAGATGGACCTTAAGATAAAGGCTGTTTATGGCATAACTAGAGATGTGTGAGTGGTGGGAAGATAAATTAAAAACATGTAATACAACAATTCACAATTGTAAGCACAGGATAGAATAAAAACTAAGAAAAACAGCAGAAAGGGATCAAAACAATGCAGCACATAAAACCTAAGGACAAACAGCAGCAAAACAAAACCGTACAAATATCTAAGCTGGGGTAAAGAATGTATGACCATTTAAATTATGTTGGACTCTAATTCCTATCAGTACCAACAAGGATGCCCAATGGTCAAGGATGATGTGAGTTATATATATCAACCATCTGTAGGACCATAGATTTCCCACCCCAATCCAAAAACTTTATAAACATTTCTTAAAATGCCCAAGTCAGTACAAATATCTTCAGCTGGTACTGAAAATATCAGTAGGGCAGTGAGGAAGGCATTCAGAGAGAGGGTGCCACTGCCAAAAAGGTCTTTTCTTTGTAAGAACACCCAGAGAGGCTATCCAAGGAACATCTCTTGCTTGGTATGTTTCCTTCATTAGCCTATGACAGACCTACAGAACTTGTGCCCCATTAAGCTAACCATGGCTCTCCACACTACTGTACTAGGTATTGTGTGCTCTCTCTCTCTCTCTCTTGCGCGCGCGCACACACACACACACAATACTTTTGCCATCTCAGCTCTTCATGGGTTGGATCATTTTGGTAGGTCACAAGACATGGGTCTGACCTTCGGAGAAAACATACATTATGGAAAGTCCCAGCTGGCACTGGATTTCTACAGCATGCATCACTGGGTGCATCTTTGTTCTTTATAAATGGGTACCTACACATGCAGCCCACTTCAGATAGTAAAAAGCAACATGCATGGTTATGTTATGGGTTATCACCTTGATCATCAGCTTGAATCATCCTAATTACACTCCTTTTCAGACAATGTTTGAATATATGTACATGCACACCCCCCTTCATGGATGTCGTGCCTGAAGCCCCAACAGAGACAGCACCTCACGAGGAGGTCTTGCACTTGGGACCCTGTATCCAAAAGTCAACCCTGCAACCCAGCTTGGGGATGGCTGAGCAGGTAGCCGCACCTTCCCCTGACTCCCTGCCCATTGAGCAAACACCCGAGCCCTCATCAAAGCAAGAAACCCCTGAGGGAAAAGACATCCAGTTCCACTCAGGAAGGGTCAGAGCAGGCTGCCCCTCCTCCCTCTAATGCTGAACTTCCTGAACACAAAGCAGAAGATGCAGGAGGCGAGGTTGACTTTTCTCTAGCGTCCAATCGCAGAATTCTAAGAAGATACGAGCAAAAGCAGAGACAGTTACGTCAGAGGGAAGAAAGGCGGGATGAAGGGAGCTAGTCCCACGTGGGCTTGGGGAGAGACACCACTAGAGGGTTAACATCTGCATTTCAAGGACCTCAGCTAAAGAGCTTATCTATTGAGTTGTAAATCTTGTAGACAAGTAGCAATAAAGGACTCTAGTT